CCATGCAAAGCTATCCGGAGGTACCTGGGTGGCAGAAGGGAGTTTCTAGTAATTGATTAGAGCAATTTCATACACAAAAGAAAGGTACATTCTGTATGTGATATTTATGGCATTCCATAATTGTTTCATTTTCTCTTTGTATTCTGATGATGGGAAAATATATGTTCATACAATTGGAACACCATTAAGACAAAACTATAAAGTTCTTAAATGTCAAACAATCTCAGGTGTAAGAAAGATAGAGCAGTCAGCAAAGATAAGTATCTGTGTAGCCAGGCAGAGGTTTGCGAGGATCTAACCTGGCCAAAAACAAGACCAACCAGTTCAGCCTGCATGCCTGTGCCCGCCTCCTTTGCACCAACCGGCAGAGCCAGTCCCACGTCCTCGCCACCTCTCTGCCCCACCATCACACCCTGACATCTAGCCCAGGGCCCTGGGGCATAAGGGTGTGTGCTCTCCAGGTGGATGTGAGCCTTTATAAGATTCCCTGTCACACGCTGCAGACACATCATCCAGTCATCATTAATAAACACAGGCTCTGCCACCAGTGACCACCAGCCCACAAGCAGACAGCATGGATATTGCAGGGGATCTCCTGAAGACCAAGGCCAGTGGCGTCATTGACCAGGCCGGTAAGTACTGTGGTGGCAGTGTTGGGATATCTGGAGAGGTTGCACATGAGAAAAGGGACACAATCAAAACTGGGAATGTCTGTTTCAAGAGACTACATAGTCACTCCATGTCATGAACAAAGCAGTGATGGGGTATGATTTAAATGATTTAAGGTTTTTTCGTCTTACAGAAATAAATGTTCCTCTAAAGGCTGAAGGTCATTTTGTGAAAGTATTGGTCTTCGTTGTGTTGTATGCCATTTTTACATATTGTGTGAAGTTCTCTCTGTTTGCAGACTAAACTCTCCAGGCATCTCCCAGGTCAGACAGACAGGCGCAGACACAGTCCAGCACCAGAAGCTGATGAAGTGCGCTGTTTGTTTTTGTAAAATATTTGCCACACAACGAGAACCTGCTGTAAATTATGCCTTTTACAAACCATTAGCATATAGTACACTGCACAATGGACAATGCACAGAGACTTAATTCAGATTCACATTCTGGTGTCTCTTGTACAGAGCAATAACAAAAATCTAATTTATAATAATTGATTTGTATTGTACCTTTCACAAAACAAGATCCAAAGAATTTACAGAATATACAGAAAACATAACAAGAGTCAGAAAATATAATCTAAAGAATTTATAAACCAAAACAAAAGCTAAACATCACCTAAAGTAAATATACACCAAAACAATAACAAGTGTCAGAAAACATTACTGTATCTAAAAGGACTACACGATAGTTTTGTTTTGATAACCTTGAAAGGGTATGGAATATTACGAAAACAGGTTTACAAAATAGGCTGTTCTTCAAAATTGCAGTGTCCTGTTTATCTGCACATTGTTGAGCTGCAAAGCAAAGCAGATATGGAAACATTTGTAGTGCAGTGTCACGGGTCTGCTGAGGCTCAGCTTGATGAATCACAGACAACACAAGCTTCTTACATTGCACTCACTCTGACTAATCACAATAATGGAAGGGGTGTGATGACTGCGAGGCAAGGAACATACCAATCAGGTTCTTCTTTGAAATTTATTTTAGCAGCTGTGGCACATCATTAAAGGAGTGGAAATGCACAATAAAAACCAGAAAAATAGATACCATCTAGCCTCAGACCAGCTCTGCTGCTATTACTTTAATTAGGTCTGTCATTTAAACATAAGGGAAACCTCTGCCCTACAGCTGTATCACACTGTCTCTTTGTTACTTTATAGCTGCTACTGCCAAGGACTCTGTGCAGAAACTGGCAGGAGGAAAGAAGAAGGAAGAGGAAAAGAAGAAAAGTAAATACTTTGCTCTGCTGTGTGTTGTATTAGAACTAAAGAACTTCTAAAAAATACAGCTCTGCATTACAATATAACTATAGCACTGTTCCAATATACTGTAAGCATCTTTCCCTGTGTGCCATTCAAATTAAAATTGTGTAGCTGGAATCTATTCAGTAAGTTCACTTTAAAGACATACCCAGATGAATCCCATGATCAGTATTGGCTTTGTCACAGATACGACACAGTGTATATAGTACGTATTTGTAGAGATTCCATTCGCCTGTATCCTAACCATGCTCTTGCCTCCCTCTATCCAGCCCTAGGGGAAACAGTGAATGAATCTGCTGGGGCTGTGGCCGACTCCACCCTGAAGAGCGCCAAGGAGCAGGCATTCTCCATTGGGAAGAAGCTGCTCAGCTAACAGTCTCCACTGCACAGATGGACCCCCTCAAGCCTCACACTGCCCTGTCACCTGATTCCCACCTATTCTCAGGCATCCCAGTGTAGCCCAGCAGACGGCGGTGGGAGGTGCTTAATCTGAGCTGGACTGTTTAGCATTTGCAGGATTTCATTAAAATCTGCAGGAGTTGCCAGACTAGGCAGAATGAGATTGCACAGCACTATGATTAATCAAACTTAAATTTAAATAAAAACATAATATGTTTAACTGTTTTTCTTTGTCCCTTTCCTTTGTGGTACAATGCAGGCCAATGGGTCCCACATTATTTGGGTTAAATCACCAACCATAAAGACTGTGAATTTTTAGAATACAATATTTTGATCACCTTAAGAAGAACAACTGGGTTCCCTACCTAAAATTAAAGAACTTACCTCCCAACGGAAGTTCCAGAATGAAAAATCCAGAAGGACTGAGTATGAGGTGTCAGATCTATGTTAGAGAGTTGGACACACACGACCCATCCAGAATTTAACTGAGGTCTTAAAGACAAGGAATGGACATTCTTGCCACATGATGACTAATTTCTTTAAATAGTGCTGATTACTGTTTAAAGTGCTGGGATCACAGCTTGTAGCCTCATTTACAACATATTTTATGTTATCTGGGCATCAATACAACCAAACTACACATACTGTATGTTTCATGCACACAGACAGGTGCAGCAGGTCTGGAAAGGCTGATGTTTAATCATTTCTGGAGTTCACAATAAAAATCACAAGGAATCAAAATCTGGATCAGGAAAATTGATGTTCTATTCTGGAAAAGATTGAGTTTCTCATATGTAACTGGGAGAAACAGATTAAACAAACAAAAGCAGTAATGGAATTTTCTTCCATCCAGTTTTGGTGACTTTAGTATTGACTGCAGGAAAAACTAGTATACTTTAGCTTTAATAAACACTGGTAAATGGTTACCCTGTATCACAGCATTTAGTATGTTGATGTTGACAAACATTTAAATTCCAGTGCTTTGAAAGCAGTTATCACTTCAACTTGTATACTGAAGTTGGATAAGTGAAAAACAAAGTATCTACTTTAGATTTTAAAGGAAACTGAAGGTACTGTAGCAAATTGACCTCAGCCCTTCCTGGAGAAATATTGTGGGTGTTAATGTGAACACAGGGATATGAGACTAAAGGAAGGGCTCATTGCTCCCAGAGACCTTTGTTCCCCAATTTCAGGAAACTTGAAATTAGTCACCTGATCGGTTAGCACAAGACAATCGGTAAGGTGACAAATTAAAAAGCATGAAGCAGAGGTTTTCTGTGGTGGTCAATGTGCTGTATGGGAGCGGAGAGTAGATTCTCTGCTGAGCACACTTACCAGAGGGGAAGGGAGACGGAAGTGACTGACTGAGGGACTTTGTACTGCAATGCTGTTTTAAGGTGTAACTGTGAGTGGTTTGTAAGTCTTTTGTGTAGTGTCTCACAGTTAGGATCTTACTCTTTGGGTTTAAAAAGTTGATTTGAGGCTGGTATGCAGCTTAGCTGCCTGGCTATGATAGAGATTGAAGAAGGCTAAGGCAGAAGCTGAAAAGGGAGCTTCAACTTTCATTGACAGGTTTTGTTTGTGATTACTTGGTTTTCCTGCACTTTTACCTCATGGTAGACTCCTGGGTGTGTCTGCTTTATTCTGTCTCATCTATCAAACCTCCTATTTTATGACAACCCACACCAGTGTCAGAAACAGTTCCCTTATAGGTTTAATGGTTTGACCCACAGAATTATTAATTCAATGGAGTGTGAGGAGTCAAATACATGTCATAGAGATGGATACACATGACCCTTTTCAGAATTTAACACTGATAAGATGTGACAGCATGATCTAACAACAGCCAGCTCTGGGGGACCAAGCAGACTGTTCTCGTCAAGACTTTTTCTTGTCCTTGAATTGTTTCTCCAAACCTGTAGTAGAAGTACAGGATACAGGCTTTTGTTTGCTAAAGAGATGAAACTGAAAATTCTGCACGAACTGTGTTACCGAGAGTGCTCCTGTCCTTTGTCTTAGAAAACAGGCATTAGAAAACAGAGTATCATCTCTCCAAAGAGTCTTTGCTCAAATGCAAAACAAAAAGGCTACTCTGTGAACCTAGGAAGCTTTTCCCACCTAGAACAGTGTAAGCGATGACTGTCAGTTTGCACAGTGAATCATGAAAAGGTAAAAAGCAATTAACCTAATGCCTCTGGATGGTCCAGCAATTACATCAAGAACTTCAATGTAAATCCTTACCAGAACTACAGCTGCAGGTCCCCCTCTGAAAGGTATCCCAGTAAAGGCAATGGCAAAAGTAGCCTCAAGCTGGATGCCCAAAGTGATTAAGAAGGAAATAAAGTGGGAGGTACCGATCTTGATTCCAACTCCATAAACCTCACAACAACACACCACAGCATTTTTTGTTGTTCTTTTATTTTGAATGTTTTTGGCAAAAACAAAAAAGGCATAACAAATTTACCAATAATCCCAAAGCAGTTTCCAGATCAAGGTTCACATGGCAAAAGAAAGAAAAAACAGTTTTGTTCCCATATGCGTTTCCCTCTGTGTGGCTTTTCATACAGGTCCTACAGGTCAAAACCTGACAGTTAACATTCTGACCAAATTCAGCTTCAGCAACCAAAGCAGTGCTTTTGAATGGGGTTAAGCAATTTCTAAGAGCCTGTACTTATGGAACTAAACAGCATTGATGCACTGACCAAACTATTAAATCAACAAGATCTTTAGAAAATGTATCTCAGAGAACATAAAACTTTAGTTTTAAGTTTTAGTTCATATACCTCTTAGAGCTAAGAGAATGGACCAATTCTCAATATAGAATAAATTTAAACTTTAAAACTAAGGCAGGTTTAAAAAAAGTGAACAGCTCTGTTAAAAACTTGGTAACTCAAAACACTGAAACTGACCAACTAAATTTGCCAACAGCTGGGACAGGACATCCACACTGTTAGTACAGGCCCAGTGAGAGGCCTCTGTGAAGTCACACTCCATCTCAGAGACTGGTATATTTTATCTTTCTCCCCCTCACCTCTGCTTGCTGTATAACACCCCACAGATTACACTGCATATACTGTAGAACAGCAGCTCACACAAGTCTCTTCATACCTGTACAGGAGGCTCAACGGTTCGCTGAGCTGCTTCAGCGGTACCAAACTGAGCTCGGATCAGGTCTGATTTAAGAGGTTACAAAGAGCACAATGCAATCTGATGAGGATTGTAGTGAAATGTGATGATAGAGAAAGAGTTTAAAATTATAGCATGAGTGAAGAGCAGGACTGTTTTACAGATTAGCTTTGGGCTATCTTAGAACACAGGTTAACCGTCATGTTACGTCTCTAAACTTGCAGGAACACATAAAAGGACAGAAGAGCTTTTCTGGTGGTTATATATGGAAAGCATATGGTATATAATATGTAAACGCTTGATATGTTATAAAGGCTGTATTGGACGGGCAGGGGAGAGGCTGGGCGTCCTGGGTCTGTACAGAAAGACAGACCGCAGGGTGGCAGTTTATGTGAAGGTCAGTCCTGCCTCGTTGTACACCTTGAAGACTTTCTCGATGGCATTGACATAGGCAGCTGTCCTCAGGTCCAGACCCAGGTTGTACTTCTTGGCAGTGCGCATAATTTGCTACAAAGAAGGAATATCGGAGTCATTTTCTGTAATATATATGCTTTTGGAGCAGCAACAATCCTTAGAAGGATCCTTCTCCAGAGAATGTGAATTTTGCAGTACAGTAAGCGGCTAAAGATCTTATTCAAGCAAGGTATTCTTTCAATCTGTTTGAAGTATCATGGCAACACATTTATAGACTGGCAACTCTTACTCGGTGTTGGTATTACAACATCTACTTAGCCTGCTGTGGTACACTTTGTAATTAAATAATGTGTAGAATTGCAGTTGTGTTTAAAATTTTCACCTCGGATACAAATTTGTGCAAATTGAACAGAAGTACTTCATTGATTGTAATTGATTGGAAAGGGCTCTTTCAGCTAGAAAAGAGCGAACTCTCCTTTAAAGCATTACATGAACAGGGATCTATAAGCTGGTCAGGATGCTCAAGGGACTGTAGCCTGACACACTGCACCTGAGGACCTGAGCACCTGGGATTCCTTCACTCACACATGCTGCCAAGGACTTGAAAAGGAAGTGAAATATGGAACCTGCAACAGCTTAGTAATACAACATGAGGCACGGGAAGAGATGTCTGTGAGTGACAGCGTTTACTGGAAAAAAGAGACGCTGCATATTAAACCGAACTGGCTTTCCTTGGCCTAAGAGCTGCACACCTAAGGGACCTCACACAAGATGGGTGTAAACATCACCTGACAGAAAGGTGTGTGGGTATTGCAATGTTATTGTGAGCAAGAGAACAAAAAAAACTGCTCCATATAATAGACTGCAGATCAGGTGATGGGCAGATTGGTTGCTCCACCTCTAATTTTAACCCTGGATGGAAGAATGCACTATGAGGGCTGAGAGGAGGGCTGAAATGCTCTCTCACATACCAAGAGCAGGACTCACTCTAGCCAACGGCATGGTCTGGAGCTCCCATTCCTTAGCCACCCTAATCCTCTTTCTGGGATCACTCAATTTAGGGAGGGGAACAACATATACTGGGTGTGTCCTGTCTCTTTTACAAGACTGACAATCTTATTTCACATTTGATTTCAATTGAATTGTTCTGTGAAAGCTGCCTTCTCTCTTTCCAAGGGTGTTGTTGTGTTTATTATGAGCCAGGATGTAACTAGAGGGTGGCGTTGTGAACAGCCAGCTGCTCCAGAAATCCTAAATTCAACAGCAACACAAATACCTCAATAACTAGTTTGTAATGATTACTCTGTTATGAAATAACATAAAATCTATCCCTTTAAGGTAAATTAGATTCTCTTCTGCTGATAATTTACACAGGGTAATAAATGTTATCTATAGGTTCTTAAAAAATTATATCACTAATAATGTATGCTTCTACTGCTGTAGGTTCATTCTCCTTATTTAATTTTGTTGGGCTTTGCTTCCAATTGAAATTTGCAAAATAAACCCAGTGCATGACAGAGAGGACTGCACCTTCTATCCACTGGCAACCTCCCCATCTTGCACTGGGCTTGTATCATGGAGCGGGCAGGTCGTCCCAGCCCTTGACTGAATTCAGGTCGTGCTCTTTACTGGAGCGTAGACTAGTCAGTGGGGTTAAACACTTACCCTGGCTGACCTCTCCATAGTGTAAGCAAGGCCAGAATGGACAATATCCTTCTCAGAAGCACCCTGTGAAAAAAGACATTGAACACTGAAGAGACCGCAGAGGGTGTTACAAAGTGTCACATCGACCCTACAGGACCAGAACTGGACACGCCCAATCTAAAGCAAGGTTATTCACGAATCAATTAGGTAATATGCATACTGTTTATTATTGTTAATGACCCCTGGTCTCGGTGTATCAGACACTCGATCATCCTGGCAAGCTGTAGTTATGATACTCACTTTCTAATCTTGAGAAAGCCATTGTAACAAGATGGTGTCATTGTCACTGAGTCACTCCGCATCAGGATCACTGAGTGATCGGTTCATTGCGTGTATTAGTCATTGAGCGTATCAGGATCAGAAACAATCATTTTATTAAAATAATGCCACAAAATAGTTACCCAATAGACAAAATCTGCAAAAAATAAAAGCTTTCCTATCCTATCCTTTTCCTTGGGGAACGAGGGGAGTCAGTTATAGAAGATGATCAATAATACTAACATTCGCACAGCAGAAATGTACATAAATAGGAAAACAATCTTATATAGTAGTTCGCACTGAGAACTGATATTATTATCACTGTATGTTATACAAAATTACACTAATACAATACAATATTATGAGAAAGGTTTACTGTACTTGCTTTTTGTTGGCTTGCTTTTTACATCACTTTTCAGCCATTACTAAAAGGGTAACACTGCCAACACACTGAGGAAATGATCCAGACAAAGCACATGCAAGAGAACAAGACTGTGGCCATACTCAGAATGTTGGATAGAGCAACTACTTTATGAACAAACTAGACAACGATTATGCACTAAGTTTGCACTACTGTGGATATTCACAGTTTGAGTGCAAGCTGGATAGAAATGGAAATTTTCCCTGATACTTAACGATTTTGTATTGGCTTACGGATAAAATGCCAGTTAGTAGAGGATTCCAGTTAAATAAAAGCTGGATAGTAAAGCTTTTACTGTACTTGTAAAAACATAAATAGCACTCTTTAGAGCAGGGTTCTCTTAAGATACAGGGTTTGGTTCCAGTGGTATGTTCAATTTCTAGATCATTTATAAAAATTTCAGAATATCTTTCAGTCCTCAAGGGCCAGTATTCCCTTCATTGAAATGTGCTTAGATAGAAGTTAACTGATGTTAGGAGTTAGAACGACAGATAAGCCAAACTCACCCAGCTGCTCTAAATCACAATCAGTACCCACTTCCTTGCACATACCTTTTTCCCCACTTAATATGTGAATTGTGCTTCAAACAGCAGGTACTATCTTGTTTTCAAGGTAGGAAAGTGAAAAAAAGATAGTACAAAAGATAGAAATATACTTCTTGTTTTACAATCGCCTAGCATTTTAGCCCTGGGTTCTTCACCCCCTCTCCCCCCAGTTGCTATCTCGTAGGCTCGGAGTCTGTCCTGTGTCCCACCTTTGGCTCAGTCAGTATGCTTCCCACTACTTTTAATGTGTGCCTTCTACTTAAAGGTTTTTCCATATGTCCATACTCATTCTGTTTCTGCATTGCTGGTTTTGAAGTTAACCTGCTTCTTTTGGGCATTGAGAGCCCCCAGTTTCCTCCCTTTCGCCGTCTGCAGGCGTCCTACAGCTTTTAAAGTCTGCCTTTCTTTTACTGCAATGCCAACATTTCCATGTTGCACCAGTACTTTCCTTCTGTCTCTATTTCTGCATTTGTGGTTTTGGGGTTCACTTGTTTCTTTTTTGGGGGTCAAGCTTCCTCATCCTATGGCCAGAAAGCAAGCTCTTAACCAAGAGTGTTAAGCAAAACCTTAAAAGACTTAAATCCTCAATAATAATTCCTCATGATGATTAAACCATTAAACCAGTGTTTCTGATCTTTAAATGAGTGGTTCAGGGTGGCCTTTAAGAATAACAGGATTGAGGATCTCTAGGACCAGAGTTAGAGCCCCCTGCTATATAGCTATATGTAGTTTTGGATGCTCATCATATTTGTTTTGTTTTTGCCATGACTGTTTCATTCCTGACTGACTGGAAGAACAGCATTGCTCTTAACCCATGTAACCCCAGCTAATGTTCTCTCCTATTCAAAACACTGAGAACTCTCAAGTGATTTACGACAACAGCTAGTAGCTCCACCACAGGTTGTACCTCCTTACACACCCAAGTATTAACGCATAGATATCTTCTATTGTGTGACTTCTATAAGATTTACGTACATTTGCCATTTAAATTGCAAATATAGACATACCACTCTGGAGTGCAGTGAGCTGGTGTGCCTGTGTGCTCCAGCCAGATACTCACAACCACTCTGGAGTGCAGTGAGCTGTTGTGCTTGTGTGCTCCAGTCAGATACTCACAGCCACTCTGGCCTGGAATTCTGCAGTGGGCACGACAGGAATGGTTCCGCCATGCTTCCCGAACTTCCTCTCCAAGCTCTCCTGGACAGACACTGAGCAAAACATGGACAGACAGAGGGTTTAATTCTTAAGTACTTGGATAGTCCTACAGCAAATGAGACCCTCTGGAGTTCTAAACTCATTGTTTATGATGTAAAAATCCTTTGGTGCAGGCCTCTATTTTTCTAATTTTGAACTCAGTCTCTTCTCCATACACAAACAGTCCTACTGAAAAAATCCATATTAGGACATACTTCATTGCAGTGAAAGCGGAGTTGGCCATTAAGGGAAAATGTCTTATATATAAATAATTGTCCTATAATACAGAAAGATCAAGACACTGATAAGAGATAGCAGTGCGGCATAATGAAAGAAAGCTGTCTGTTTAATTCCCAGGTGGTGCACTGCTGTTGTATCTTTCAGCAAAGTGCTCTGAGTGAGTATCCAGCTGTAGAAATGGGTACAAATGTAAGTCAAATTAGATAAAAGCCTGAGCTTAACACATTAATGCTAATGATAAAACGGAATGACACATCTATTATTTGTTTTCTATACTAAAAACTACATGTATGTATCCATTAATCTTCAATGGCCAGAAAAGTTTTAAGGTAAAATTAACTGATTTTGTGTTTTAAAGGCTTGTTTCTGAGCCTGTGGAATTATGAATTACTGTAGTTGTCCAGAAAGAACAAAGGGTCTGTAAGATTAAGGGCTTTTAAGTAAGATACAGCAGCATTTTCCAGCTTTCGATATTATGACCTCTAGCTGACCATGAATTACATCAGTAAAGAGCTTTGATAGGAGGTGTCCTGGCTACATGCAGGGAAAGGCCAATGTGCGTGTAATAACAGAGGTCTGGAAGACGTAACAAGAGTGCACCACGTTCTCTCTTGCACTGATGCATGTGTCCTTCTGTGTCAGTCATAGCTCAGTGCTGCTGATGGCTATGACCTGCGTCAATAATTTAATAAAGGGTCAGTTAGGAGAAATTGATTCAACTGAAAATAGAAGCAAGTCAATAGTCCAGCTCCCTTTATTTTAATCCAACCTGTCAGCTAAGGAAAAATAATTATAATAATTTCCTTACCTCTCCTTGATCAACTTGTTTGACCGGCTCATGAACAGCTGATTCTACTATGTACTTTAATGTCATCAGAGTATAATAAAGTCAATAATAAAAGTCCTGAACGTGTTATTACAGGAAAGAAAGATTTTTACAGTACTTGTGACTATCTCAATTATGAAAAAATCAAGAAACGAGTTTTTGAATAGCTTTGAAACTGCCTTTAAACACTGAATCAGAGTGGTTTGTAGAAGTTTCTGGCCCTTCTACCCTTTTCCTGAGTGAGTCACAACCCCTCTGCTATTAAATGGGCTTGTTTCAGACTGCAGTAGGAGTAAGGAATTATCACAATGATCAAGTTTTCCTATTCTTTGTGAGAAGCTTGCTGAAAATTTTAATTCAAGCACACATGATTTATGTGGCTTTGCCTAATTTAGGCTTGAAGATAGATGTCCATTTTGTTTAAGATCACCAAAGGTTAGTGTGTTTACAGTTTGCATGATGCACATTATACTACAGTATATGTGTATATACTTTACATGTAAAATAATACAACACTGAAGCTGAAACTCTGCCCATTGCTGTGGATTCTCTAAATAATCCAGCATGGTGAAGTAAATCTCGAAACATCCCAAATGAGGACTGAACCACATGAAATTCCCTAAAAGGTCTGTTGCTCATGCTCTTGGTGTGGTCAGCAAATTTCACGAGTGGGGTATCAAAACCATCATGAACATTTGTCAAACTCAACTGGCATTTATTTTTCATAAACACCAAATTAAATAAAGTCATAATGAATCTGAACTATACAAGAGGGGGGGAACTCGGGCCCAGTAGATTTAAATTCATAATATACAGAAACGGTAAGTTTTGTATAATCAATCCTTTATACAGTCAGTAGCAATCTTCTTGGTGTGTTGTGTATATCAACCTCAGTCATTATTATTTTGTGGAGGCTATAGTCAGACTATATAGGCTATAGTCAGTCAATTTGTTTGTGTTGTCTGTAACGGCAATTACCAACTTCCTGTTCAAATGCATTCATCTTACATTACTGCTAAATCATTTGTTTTTGCTTGGAATTAAATGATATGCTGCCTCTTAAAGAAAACTTTTAAAACACATCACAGAACTTTCAAATAACATTAAACGTTTATCAGTTTCTTAGTACTAGTGGCAAAGGATCTGTGCCTGTGGCTGGATGGTTGCTGGTTCGTATCCCGCACCCAGCAGAGGAATCCTACTCTGTTGGGCCCCTGAGCAAGGCCCTTAACCCTAACTGCACCAGGAGTGCTGTATAAATGGCTGACCCTGCGCTCTGACCCCAAGCCTCTCTCCCTGTCTGTGTGTCTCTTGGTAAGTATGTTGGGGTATGGGAAAAAAGACAAATTCCTAATACGAGAAACTGTATATGGCCAATAAACTTATATTAAAATGCCATATCTGTTGTGGTTACTGTAAACAAGCAGGCTTTTGAATGCCTCCTCCAGGTGTAGAAAAAAGATTTCCAAAACTCACTTTACTCACTAAAAATCTGCTCACACTATGAGGATGAATATCACAGAAAGCACCAAACACATGAATATAAAATATAAATGACCATTAAAATGAAAAGTCCTTGCTACTACAATATTAGATTTATACATTTCATCTAATGCGACTGGAAGAAGTTGCAATAAAATGTCGGCTCACTTTTTTAAAGCAAAACTTTGAGTGCACAATTTTCTTTTCTTAATCCTTTGAATTTTGATCCCGTGAAGTGTGTTCTGGCAAGTGTGCAGATATCCTATCCTATCCTTCCTGGAAGCTCTAAGGCACATGATCGCTGATATGATGGTGCAGTGGCCCGGGACTACAAGCGAGACAGGCATACGTGACCATGCACTATAGCAAAAGCACAGCATGATTCTCCCATTGCAGATCAGAATGCCACATTCCCCATTGAACATAGCATGGTAGACAGGAACAGACTCATTTGTGTCACCAGAATTTCTAGGGTGCCATGAAGGTACTGTACAAAAATACATTTTATGTCTGGTAAGGCACAATCCTTTGAAATTCAATTGTGTATACAAGAAAAAGAGCATTCACCACAAGTTATAGGATGACTCCAAAAAAGAAGCATTTCTTTGGTTTTAAGTTAATGTTAGTGATAGATATAATGATGTTCTTATACTAGAAATTCTTAATTGCCATTCATTTTAAGAATCACCAGAGTAAAACAGTTACATGGAATACTGCAGTAACTACAGGCAAGGTTTACAGCAGAGGCAGAGAAAGGCTATTGACTTTGGGTTTTGAACTTACTAAGCAGATGGTAGTTCGAGTCCCTCTCATATTTGAAGGTCAGTCGGCCATAGCTCACATGGTTCAGGTTCTTTAGCCACTCAAAATATGACACGGTTACACCACCAGCATTCAGGTACATATCCTGCGTACATAAGAGACACCAGCTTACTAAGCCATAGCCGAGACATCAGCATTTCATGGTTAAACCCAGACATTCTGGGTCTTCGTTTTACAGCAGTTTTCCAACAGTTTCTGTTTATTGCCAACAAGGATTGTACATGTCAATATTATACATACATCTGAGTTAGGTTTCTTACAAGACAGCTAGAAAGAGCTAGAATTAAGAAACCAAAAAGTATTTTTAACTTACGGTGACATATGTTAATTTCAGATCTTTAAAACATCAAGAAAATTTACTAATAATTAAGTCTTTACCAGGCAAAATGACAATGCTTATGGTTTTGAACTGTTAAGGCAGTGTTAAGTGTTAAGAACAACTTCACATTAAGAGGGTCTTCTATTCATGTTCCTTAGTAATGGGCTTCAACCACAGAATGAGACAGTCCAATGAATTTATTGCAGTGTCACACTGAGATTGCACAGGGGGACTGATGTCCTGAGGCCTGGACTGCACTGTATCCTTAACTGTCCTCAGCTGCTCTGACAGATGGGGCTGCTTCTGTGGAGAGTCCTGCAGAACAGCATTGCTATCAGGGCTACAAGGTCAGCAGGAGGAACAGAGGCAGCCCTGGCCTCATCTGCCCCTTATTACAGAACAGAACACAGATTCCAAGTTCAAGACCCTTTCTGCTGATCTTTTTTATTTGTTAAACAAATACAGAAGTGTAATCCATGATGAGGAAATGATTCATTTGAACGATTTTGGCAAGATTTTTTAGCAACACTAAAATCTTAGCATAGCATTAATAAATAAATGAATGTGGCTCAATGCCATTGCATAACCATATCTTCTTTAGGACATTATGTAACACCACTTTTAAAACCTGATCTTAATTATTCATAAACCAATGCATTTTAAAGCATTAGCCATTTAACAAGCATGCCATTTTATATCTGGATGAATTTTACAGATAGAATTCTGAACTCCAGTCTACTCTCTGCAGAGAGAAATTAAATGCTAAACTGAGTGAAAATGTGCAGTTCAGTTTTGAGGACACTGTTTACTATCTATTACTCTTTACAGTTTACTGCTCTCAATATATATAGTTGGTAAATATTCAAAACGACTGGAAACAGCAATGGTAACAGGTGTCTGGATTTCTGTCATTATTCCTACCGGAATAACCATGATATTCCTCTCCAGGAAGATCTTGTCAGCTGCAGGAGTTGTGGGGCCGTTGGCACCTTCAGCAATGATCTGCGAACAGGCAACAAGGGGTTCAGAGGTACAGTAATCTGCAGAGTCTCAGCTAATGATACGTTCAGTCCCACAAACAAAAATGTATTTATTTTCTGTAAAAAATGTACAAATTTGTAAAAATATTACAAATGTCTGAAAAACATAAAAGAAACAATGACAGATATATTAGACAAAATACATTAATTGCATTAATTAAACAAAAGGTCTTGCACAGGCTTTTGGAGCAGAGCTACTTGAGTAGAAAAGTGGGTTGTCTTTCTGATGTGGAGTACCCAGCCAAAGCAATTTTTGATGGGCTAATATAGACAATATTAATTACTTTATAATTACTTTAATAAGAACTTTATTACAGGCTGTAGGCTGCTCACTTCATGATGAAATTTAGTTTGGGACCCAGCCACCAGCAGGACAGAGTGGAGTGAGACCTGTCCACCCCCTGTGCCCCCGGTTGGTGTGGGACCTGACCCCCTGTGACAGAAGTGCCCACAGTGCAGTGTGTCTTGCTGGTTGCTAGTTTCCTCACCTTAGCTTTGATCTTGTGTGCGTTGCCCTTGGTCAGCTGTTTCTCACTGGCCGCAGGGATCAGGATGTCACAGTCGGCCTCTAGGATGCTTCCTTCATACGGGGTAGCATTGGGAAAGCCCACAATTGTGCCATGTTGCTGTAAGGGACAGGCGGTCACAACAGTCTATAGTGAAACCCTTGAAGTTACTTAAACAGGGCTGTTATTCTGGGTTGCATGTAAAAAAATGACTTCATAAAAATATTACCACTTTACCATGTTGTACCTTGGCATCTGAGTAATCCTAAACTATCCACCATGTCTAAGTCATGATGTATACTGTTACAAAAAATTGGTGTGAGGAAAGTAGAGTTCTTTTTATTCTGTGGCACAGTTTCACTGAAAGAGTAATAAATCAGAGGCAAATATTTACAGTATTAGCAAACCAATAACAACGCCAAACAAAGACACCGTTACCCTACAGACCCATAAACACTGCATACTAGACTTGTAACTTAACCGTCCCGATGTTGCAACTTGACTACAGTGTTGTACTTATTCATTTTGTATTGTTCTACTGGTGTATGTTACCCAAGATAAGAACAAATATTATTATTAATATTTAAAAAATAAATATATGTCCAAATATAGATGTGCACACTACAGTAATTTAGTAGCAGCCAGCTCAGTGCTTGGTGGAGGGACATGACTGCCAGTCACCAGAAACAGCAGTATACTTTATTTTAACAGGATGACACACAGCTAATTAATGTATTTTGGGCACTCTGACAAATGAACAACAAACTACAACAGAATCACCCCGATGGACACACTCTGTTTTCCAGTTGTTATGTGGTCAATTTGGATTTTGAGAGGTGACAAGAAAATTATGCTAGAATAAATGCCTAAGAGCTGGTAAGAGTGCCCCCTGGTGTCCATTGTTTTCCAAGAGGGTGGCATTCCCTGCTCCCGTCAGTAAGCCTGTTCTCCGGGAGATGTGGAGACACCTGGGCGTGAAGCCCTTACCAGCTTGTAGTCCTCCAGCTCCTTGGGGTCGATGCCATTGGGGTTCCAGATGGAGCCGTCCACTTCGCCAACTCCCACACACTTGGCCCCGTAGCGATGCAGGTAGCGCATGGAGTGCAGACCCACATTCCCAAAGCCCTGCAGGAGACACAGGCCTCAGTCAGAGGACAGCGGGAAACACCTGCCTCTCCATTGCATAACCAGTTACTTTTTGGGTCTGGTGGCTTTGGAAACCTATATTCAGTGATGAAATTTAGGGGTGCAAGCTATGTTCTTCAGTAGAGGGATGGAAGTTCAGATACACAAGTTTTACCTGTTATCCTGTTGCACAGAAGTCAACACCAAGTGTGGGTTATCTCACACTTGTCTTCTTGTAATACACATCTGCACTGCACACGTGAGATTAATTATACAGACATTAAAAACCTTCTGCTCTTAATTTTTCCTGCAAATCAAAATCACTATAGTCTTTTTGAAAAATCAAAACCTATATGTACTACGCCAAACATAGTTCTTTATTATCCATCTATAGCTCACATTGAGGCTTTGGGTTAAAAGTGGAATCATGAGACATCTTTGTACTTATTGTTTTCACCGTAATTGACATAGCAATGCTTCCACCTAGTGGAGCTTTGATTAAATCCTTTCAACCAGGAATTCCTTAAACCGGGCTGGGGATCCCCCAACCCAGCCCTTAAGAGCCACAGTCTTACAGGTTCTCAATCTAATTGATTAGAGTCTTAGTTCCAGATGTTTACTTTCCCAGCTCACCAGGTACTGCTGACTTATAGATCCTGAAAACTTGCTGGAATTTGACCCTGAAGAACTGAAGCATTAAACCTTATTTAAACTCTGTCTGGAAACAAACAGCACCACATTGGTTGTGGCAAACTGGGTAATGAAAAACCAAGCACTGTACAGGAAAGCTGAACAAGCTATACTGTCGTGTTATCCAGTATCAGCCATCTGCAGCTCATGTACTGTTCATATTCCATGTACACCTTGGATCATCTTTATGTAGAACTTGAACTGATCTGAAAATAAGCACAGAACTCCTCCAGAGACAAGCCAAAGGCAGAGAACAGTTATTTATAAACACAGAGCAATGAAATGTTCTTGACCTCTGCAGACGTCAGTAAATCCCTTTTCAGAAAATTACTTCTAGGCTGTTGTAATCTCAGTACAGAAGAAAAAGATTTTCAGCCATGAAATTAATTCTCTGTCTGTGAGGATTTCACTGAAGTCCACAGTCATCTTCCTACAAGTACTTACGACAGTAAATCTATTATAGCCTGGGCCATAGTTCAGTGACATCAGTATAACAGAAGATACTCTTTAGTATGGTCAGTTTAACATTAAAAAATATTTTTTTTTCTGAATGAAGTTGGTAGCACTCTCATTGCAAGCAGTTAACCCTTAAGCAATCCTTAAGCCTTAAAAGAAACAAAATCCAGTGTGCATGTTCCTTAACAGACAGGTACTATCACTGGACATTTATCTCAGGTTTTATTTCTGACCTGCAGATTCAGAGTTTGTGCTTGAGCAGCAGAAATTAGGACTCATGTCAGCAGCAGGTTTCTTTCATGTGTGAGCTCAATAGTTCCATTGTCATGCACTTCCTGTGCTTTCCTTCATACTCTACAGCCTGGTCAGTCCAGGAATCATCAAGCAATCAACTAAGGACGTAGTCTTGATGGCTGAATCAACAAAAAAAACTTTCCAAATTCTCTCTCTAGATGCACTGCAGAGCATCTTTCTCTCTAACAACTGTTTCTTTATACAGGACATGTTCAGATATCGCTAGGCCCACAGCTACTAGAAACCAAACGGGCTAGAGGACTAGATGGGTCAAACACAGTCCTCTTTTCCCAGGGGGTATCCTGACACATCAGTATTGATGCTTGTAGTAGTGTAAACTGAGTGCCACGATCATAGACTCAAGTCTGGGTCATGTCACTAGCCAACTGCGATTCCAACTTCAGTTAACCAAATGGGCTATAGGGGCCGAAAGTCCCCTTGAAAAAAATGGCTTTGTGTTTTTTCCTATGTCTTGCAAAGCTGTAGGATTTGAAAGATTACAGTGAAGCACTGTCTGCTACACATGTAAGGAAAACCCAGGGCTTCCTAATTCCTGCAGCAGATGTGTTCCAGCTGAGCTCTCAGCAATGTAACACAAACCACAATTAAAAAAATTACTTTGTTAAATTTCTTCTCTTCCTTCAGCTCCTGCATGGCTGGAGATATCATGTAATAAAGCTGGCATTGGTTGGTATGCTGCTGCCCATCTCCCCCTGGGCACTGGTCCTGGGCTGGGAACAGCGACACCAGGTACAGTGATCAACAGGATGTTTCCCGTACCTGAATGACAAAGGTCTTGTCTCCAAAGCCAGGGGTCATGCCCAGCAGGCTCATGTAGGTGGCCTCGTTGATGAAGTTTTCGATGCCATGGAAGACCCCCCGGCCGGTAGCCGAAATCCTGCCATGGATCCCGCCCTGGCTGATGGGCTTCCCGGTCACGCAGGCATGGGCATTGATATCCTACACAGAACAGCAACAAAGTCATTAGTTACTTTCAGCCAGAAAAAGCACCAAGGGTAATTTGGATAAGAATGTATGATACATTTTTCAGATTGCTAGGAAAAAAACATCCCTTTGGTATAATTCTGTCACATTCTGTCAAGGAAGTACTCGGAATCTGGACTCTTCCCATTTTTGAAGGTCTCCTCGATGACAGCAACAAGTAATTTAGGTGAGTTTTTCATGAAACTCAAAGTGCACCAAGTGCAAAGTGCATGGGAGCAGATTGTATAGAAAAATGAGCCAACGGACCAAGTTAACTGAAGAGCATAACATTTAACCACTAAAAGTTACAGTGCAATGAAAACTGTCATAAAGAATATGAAATAACTGAGAAAACAGTTGCAGGTAGCAAGAAAATTCCATTGTGACAGATTTATTATGCATGTCCAAAGAAAATTAAAATCCCATTGTTTATTTTCGGAATTGATCTAGTTCATTATGCCCTGCTGTCAGTAGACTGAAAAAAACACTATTCAAAGAGTCACCCAATGTCACATGCAAATGTGTGGCTGATTCTTACAACAAATAAGAACTGGATACAGACAATACTCTCAATTTAGAAGCCACTGTTTTACACAAAAAAGTCCCCTGGTCAACTCTAGAGTAAAAAACAGAAGCCAAGGTATAGCTTAAAGTTCTAATGCAAGTAACTGTTTCATAGGGCTTTCTTGAAAACAGGAGGCAAAACATTTCAGTAAATTATTGTTTTGCCACAATGCTTGGCCGAGTCTTTATGAGTCAGCTGAAAGGACTTCTGTGTGTCACACTTTAAGAACTGAATGACTAATTTCACAAGACTTTACTTAAACCACAGCTCCATTTTGAGTGGTAAAACAGTATCTTTGAAGGAATCCATGGCTTTAGGAAGTCTGGGTGAATTATTTTTTACATTATTTTAATGGTTGAGAGGGTGTGTCATAGAAACCTCTGCTAGAATTGAAAACTACTTCCTTTGGCCTGGCACTACTCTGGATAATTTGTTCCAAATGACGTGAGGATCCTGGAGACAGAATCGAGCATGTTTGGCATGGGTCCCGAGACTGTTGAGGATAAATATCCAAAGGAAGAGTTCCTTTACAGAGCTTTACAGACACTAAGCCCAGGCATTGAGCATCACACAGAGGATTTAATATGGTCAGGGGCAGCAGTAAATCAAGTGTTGGACTGTTTCTCACCTCTGTTCTTTGAGCTTCACAGTGCTAAATTACGCAGCCCTAACATAAACGAACAATGAAAGAAATGGTAAATGGTTTAAATGTTTAATTTTCCCACAATTGTTCACCACTCTCAGCGAGAATATCACCCTTGCATGGCCAAATAAATCCACAAGAAAGTAAAAAGTTCTGAAATGAAGCTGTCTAAACAGAGAACAAAATTCTACTTTATACAATTCAAATTTCAAATGTTTGATAAATATTTCTTCAACTACCTCCAGCACTACACATAATATAATAAAACAACTTTAATAAATGAAACACTGACATGTATAATACTGTATACTCTTTTCGTTACACCACAAAAGTATATTCTGTATATTATATTTTAAGAAATTTCAGTGCTTAACCACAGTGGGTATTACAATCCAATATCCTGGCAATATCCTTGCTAGAATGTTTTAGTATCGATAGTTTTTGCTGTTGCTCAGTTTGGGAGTGCTTGGTACACTCAGCATCATGAATTTGACTCCTGCCTATCAGCCATATAGTTTCATAATGAAAATATCTGCGTCTTTGAGGGACATGAAAAAGGTGTCGTTTTAAGATCGTATTTCACAAAAAGTCTAAGATGCATTTTTTTTATTTAAATGTTTTTTTTTCGAATGCTATGATAAGAATGTGAAATACATTTTCCCTATTAAGTTTGGAACGAAAGCATTACCCCAGAAGAATTTCCTCCACGACAGATTCTTAATATCTCATCCTTATTATGTGCCACTTCACACACACACTTCCCTGGTGAAGAATGAGTTGAATTCAAAACAGAAACTTCAGCACCAGGAACCTGTTAACCTGCTCTAAAGACAGGCCTCTCAGGACAGAGGCCTGAGTGCGCTGTTCCTTCCAGACCAGATCCAGGTCTTCCCTGCATTCTGGTCACCGTGGGAACTAGCCACTAAGATTCAGTTCAGCAGAACACAATCTCAACAGAATCCCCTCAGCCACCAGGGCAACAAACTTGGCAATGCTTACACCTCTTGCGTGGGATGCACAATTCCCTTATTAAGCATTTTTTTTATCAGGAGAGTGCAGCCAAATTGAATCAGACACTTCCTGAAAAACAATCTTTTAAGGCATTGAGAGTAAAAAAAAAAAGAAACACAATAAAAGCTACTTTGATTGCAAGCTGTAGGCCTTTATTCTCATTTCACTCTTGAAAGAAAAACAACTTCTGCTCAGAATGAAAAAGCAATCCTACAGGAAGAGGAAACCACACTTGTGTTTTGTACTTTCAGATGAAAACTCCATATGCCTAAATAAACTGCACAAACGTTAATCAATAACACCATGCGCTTAATATTAAAATACTTTTGGACTTTGCAGTAAGAGATTATTTGATTTAATAGGAGACATTAGAATTAGTTGGTTGGCTTCTGCTTATGGACATATCCCCATGCATTATTTGTAGGGCTTCTCCAAATATATATAGTAGATGTATAATGAATTAATAGAAAAAGCACACTGTATTTGATACATTATACCTGTAAAAAGGATGTTGAAAAAAATCCCTTTATAAAGTAATTCATGCTATTTCATTTCTCATCACAAAAAATTTTAATTAACTGTTTGCAGGCACACTTCAAAGTAGTGTTATTTTAAGCCCCCTCCAGAAAAGGTAATTAAAGAATTGCGTCAAGCAGCTGAACATGACCCATTCGTGCATTTCCAACGGCAAAAAGTCCGATTTTAACGTTTTGAGTCTATGTGCTATTGTTTCCAAACATAAACGGGAGCTTTATATCTGGTTCTGCAGAAAAGCACCTTTATCCCCACAGCTGGTGGGCCACTAATCTCAAGGTTTACACCCTCTCCAATTTCAGAGGATTCTACAAAAGGACAGGATGACGCACATGGCTACTTATTCAGCAATTAATCAGACCTGGTAAAACTGGACTTTGCTTACATACATGCAAAGTCCTAATCTGTTTTTTTGTTAAAAGTTACAGGAATTAATCAGATAGGAGATCAACACAAAGTCTCTCTGATTTCTCCTAATCACATCAACTTGTTTTTCATCTGCAAGACAGTGAATTCTAACAGTGCCCTAATAGCATGTGGACAAAAGCACAGCTGGACATGTTTATGTTCAAGACAAAAATGTTAGAGAAACTTTGCTCAGGAACACATTCTGGTTCATTTAGGAAATTTTCAACAGCAAGCAATGGCCTTGATCTAGTCTTTTCAAACAATCAAGAGAAATGGGCGAGACACCCATTGAGGAACTGTGATCCTAACATGGAGTGCTTTGAAAGCAGTGGTTCCCAGCCCTGTCCCTGCAGGGCCCGCTGCCTCTTCTGTTTTCTGCTGATGCAAAGATCTTACTCACAGGCTACTTGATTTAAATTTTCTATTTGAAACCTATTGCTAAATTTCAGATCTTAACATTCTAAATGGGATATGTAATTTGTGTAGGGTTGAAACCTATTTCTGAGTTAGAAAATACACCCCTGATTCAGGGTGTGAAAAGTTATCAGATGAACGTCTGAAGAATTTAATGTTTGATTATCATTTCCACTTATATCTGTTCATCATAAAATTAAACTATTATTAAGAACTCTTTTGGCAACTGAGGAGAAATGGATTAAAAGTTTTGTATACTTAAGTACTGGGAACAATTTCTAAAACTCAAGACTGTGTGAGAAACAAATTAAAAGTCTAAACATGCAGACAGATTAATTAAAGGCATCAATTAGTACTGGAGCTGTAGAGCTGTTCAGTGGAGTGAAATGTAGCACAGTGTTCCGTCAGCAGCAGGTTGGGAAACCACTGCTTCAGTGTACATGTTGAAACTAGAGGTCCCGTCCACAAAAAAAGGCTTATAATTTCACGAAAGCAGACTGTAGACTAAATCACAGTTGTAACTAAATGAATATCTGTGAAGCTGTGGCTCAGATGGTTTAATAAATCAAGATAAACATAAAGGAGAGAGAAAGCACTTTATTAAATATTCAAAAACTGGGTTCAGTTAAAGAAAAGGAGTAAAAATGATATGCATTATGCATATTACATGAAGGACTTTTAGATTCAATTATTTGAGCATTGGAGAGACAGACGTGTTACAGGTAGGAGAAGCACTTAAAATAAAACTCTCTAAGGCCAAAGAGTATTCTAATAATTTTACTGCAGGAGACAAGATATGTTATTCACTGACTTAACAAAACATTTCAGCAATCTGTTAAGATTATTGTAGACTAAAAGGTAAATTGGTCACCCATAAAAGTGTGACAAAACTGAACCAAATAAGTATAGGCCAGTATTCATACTGTATAGTAAACAAAGGTTAGTCAGAAAATAATTAGTGGCGTACCACAAAAATCTATATTAGGTCCACTGCTTTTCCTATTTTAAGTTAGCAATCTAGATTCTGGTACAGTTAGACAACAAGAATAGAAAAAAAAGGCAAATACTGTACAAGCTGCAAGAAAATTAAAAAAGGTAGACAACACTCCAGAGAGGGTTAACACTGGGTGGATAACATTTAATTTTGACAAGTGCAGATTAAATGAAGGGCATATAGTAACATCCTACAGAATAAATTTAAAATAGGAATCACTGAACAAGAAATGTTAAGATGAAAAGTTAAAAGCTTAAAATTAAATTAAAGAATGTAAAAATTGTACAATGCTCCAGTGTTAGAAATGAGGCACTACTTTAAATGATTTACAGAATTTGACATCTAATCTAAAAGATACACCACACAATTTGGGTCTGCACATTGCAAAAAAGATATAGCTGCATTAGAATGAGTCTGAGAAGAACAATCGGACAAATTTCTTATGGGTTATGGAAATGGTGAGGCTGAATGAACTTTTTAGTTTTGGATCGGGTAACCGCATGGTGTTCTCTCCAAAAATTCAAAATACTTTTAGGCCTTATGACTCTCAACCCAGCAGACTTCTTCAGGATCAACAGTGAAACACACACCAGAGGGTACTTGTGGAAACTATGCAGAAATGCATTTAAATCGGGAACAAAGGGGTTGTGGTGTGGAACAATCTACCCAGACACGAAGTAGATACCCTGGTTTCCATCAAAAAATGGCTAAATGAAATTCTCAGGTTAGCTAGCTACTAAATGAGCTAGGCGGGCCTTTATTCTTAACCTTTATACTTCTATATACAGTATTTGTTTCTGATGGTATGCTTTTTGAACACGTTGGCATTGCTGACGAGACAACAATGATGAAAAATAGCAGACAGGACATAATGTGCAAAAAGCAAAGGAAAAGCAAAAAAAGGCAAAGGAAATTTCTCTTCAACACAACTGTACTGAAGAGACTATGCTCATGCTTACAGGAAAGAGCAAAAGAATCCGTTACTGAAGCAACTTACATGGTGGCCCATGGTGTTGGCATACGTGTCTGCAATCCAGGACATCTCCCTCTCCCCTGTGCTCATGTCAGGGGCAGGGACGTCAATGCCAGGCCCTGAAACAGGAAGAAGCAGTATGAAGGGATGACTGTCAGTCTAAGCAAAGGAGAAACCCTGATTATCCCAAGATTTATGGATCTCACACAAACCTATTAAATTAATCTTAGCAAATATTATCCAGCTGCTTTTATAGGTTACCCTTAAATCACCAATTTGTAAACAATTTATTTACTTATCCAGATTTGTTTGTTGATGAATTTAATAAAGTAGTTAAATGTCATCCAAAATTAAAACATCATCACGCTGTACAGTAGCTCTCAAGGAGTGCAGCTGGACATTCTTTATTTCAATTGATGGAAGAGATCTGCTAGACTGTGGTTCTCCAGGACAAGAGCTGGCCTGCCTGGACTGTTCACCTACCAATATGGGACGCAAGGTGGGTTTAGACCACTGTGAGACAGGTTAGTTTTCCCCTGCTGATGATGTGTTTGTTGCAACAGTAATCCTGCTCTGTATGAACTGCAGGTTCAGTCATGTGCTGTCTGTGCTTGGCTGTGTAGTCAGTGATATGAAGCTGCCACCTGCACAATTGTCACTGAACACCTCCAAGTTAAGTTTCCCCCCAAAAGGTGTGTTGGAATACATTGCTGTATGCCAGTGTTTTACATTTAGCTTAAGCAGCAGGTTTCATAGCAGATCTACAACAATAAGACACCCAAGCACTTGAAACATACCAACTGGTCCGTTAGTCATCCTCGGTATTACTCTTTCATTAGTTAAAACAAGCTGCCAGTTCCCATGGCCGTGCTTTGACACTGTTCTGCCAGTGATATCCTGTAGCCGGGCTGTCATGTGCTTTAGCTCAATGCCAGGAATGCTAGGTTGTATTACGGTCAAGGCATCCTGACAAGTGCCCACCTACGTCACATTACTCTTCCTCATCGGGAAAGAGGCGGTGTGCCCCTTCTAAAAACAACCCCTGCAGTGAATGGGAGGGCCTCCGTAATGTGTTAGCCTGAGTGTGCGTGGAGCTGACTGAACTATGAACTATAAACCATATTTATAGTCCCAGTACATTCCCCGAGGTCCGACCTCCTCTCCAGCTGCAGCAGGTGGGCTTCCTGCACGTTGCCACATGAGGACAGTGCATATGGACTGTGGTCAGCCTCCCCACATTTCTCCAACATCTCCAACTAATTAAATTAATCTACCAATTAAGGAGAATCAAATTAAATCTACTACTACTGTTCACTAACCAAAACAATCCTTCTTTGTGTACATGGAAAATTGTAGGAAGGCAGAAATATTCGAAGATTTTTTTTCTCAAAGAACAGGGCACTATACTATATATATATAACTATACATTTGAATTAACTGTGGGAAAATAATAATAAACTTTATTTTATATAGCGCCTTTAAAGGTGGCTTCTCAAAGCGCTTTACAGAATGACAACAACAATAAATAAAAAGAATAAAAGATAAAACACAATTACAATACACAGAGGAGACTGTGGATAGTGGTACTAAGAAAAGGAGAGGGGTGAAGAATGGAACCAGTTAAGTAAAGGCTTTTCTAAAGAAGAGGGTTTTGAGTCTGGATTTGAAGGAGTTTAGAGAAGGTGACTCTCTGATATCCTTGGGCAAAGAGTTCCAGAGCTTGGGGGCATAGCAGGAGAAGGCCCTGTCACCCATACAATGTAGACGGGCTTGGAGGAAAGTAAGACCAGAATTAGAAGAGCGAAGTTTGCGAGTTGGGGAGTAGGGTGATAACAGTTCAGACAGGTATTGAGGTGCCAAGCCATGCAGAGCCTTATAGGTGAGCATGTGGATTTTTAAGTCCACACGGAATATGACAGGAAGCCAGTGCCAGTGCAGGACTCCAGGATAGGAGTAATGTGATCACTTGCACTAGACCTGGTCAGGATTCTGGCTGCTGAATTTTGGACATACTGCAGTTTGTTCAAAGTAGATTTAGATACCCCAGCGAGTAGAGCATTACAGTAGTCAATTTGAGAGAACACAAATGTGTTGATCAGCTTTTCAGCCACAGTTAGTGATAGCATAGGGTGTAGTCTAGCGATATTTCTGAGGTGAAAAAAATATGTTTTGACAATATGCTATATATGTGGGTCGACTGTTAAGCAAGAATCTAATATAACCTCAAGGTTTTTCAATTTTGATTGAAGCTCAAGTACAGAGCCATCTACAGATAGGGTTACAGGACTGGCTTTACGAAGTTGATGGGGGGTGTCAATAAGCATGACTTCAGTCTTGTCACAGTTAATATGAAGGACATTTTGAGTCATCCAAGTTTTTATGTCAGAGATGCAATTAGATAGAATAGAGACAGCCACATAAGTGTCAGGTTTGGTATGGATGGTATGGAAAATGACATTTTCCTCTCATTTGTAAAAACAGCAAATATTTGTCATTTGTTTAAACAAATATCCAAGAATGGAATTTTAACTTCAGTATAGCCTTTAGAATCTGAATTCCAGTTTGTGCTGAGAGTTTGTTTCATCATCAATCTAGCAAAAGAGAGACAAATACAGTTGCCTACAGTAATGCAGTTGATTCATACAGTACATTACTGACACCAAAATAAAACTGCAACTGTATCTGACAATGCACTCTCTGAGTGGAAAACTAATAGTCGGTCATTAGTAGTCAGTAACTTTAAGTACAACAAACTAAGCCAACAGGAAACTAATCAGCTAACAGGCTCCTCTAGGGTAAGCATGGATGACCTCAGGTGTATTGCAAAGCAAGATAGATTACAAGCTATCTGACTATTTAGATTTAATTTTATTTAACCAGGCGTTTGACATACTGCTGTGATGGGGGGCAAATGATCCCTTTCAGATGCAAACAGAGTCATTTCTCCCACAGAAAGTCACAAGAAAATAAAAAACACCCAAAAAATCTCACCAATGAAACCCTTCTTTGCTAGCTCGATGGTGAATCTCCTGGTGATTTTCTCCAATTCATTATCCTATTGATGAAAGGAATAAAAGTTAGATTTAATTTTCATATACACCAATTATAGGGAGTTCAGCATTTCAAGGCAATATTCTGAAACAGGATACAACCGGTCTGGCAATCATGCCAAAAAAAGAAATCACTGCAAACTAGTGCATCCAATTTCATTTTTAGCATCCTGATCACTGAAGAGAAAAGTGTGACTCAGGAAACAAATGGCTCTCACATGGCTTAAATACTGAGCCAGCATTCTCCCAGACAGCCAGCTGAGAAAGGAACAGGATTGTTCCATATCTCCAATGCCAAGGGCTGATGGATCATCTACAGGAAGCACATGTTCAATGTTTCAGTAGGCTGGAAACAGGAAGTGACAGGGCAGCCTGCTACTTACAGCAAGCAGAGCTGGTGCTATTGTTATCTAATTATCTATGGAACACTCAACAAATAAAAGTCACAGGTACACAATAATAATAATAATAATAATAATAATTGCTTATACTTATATAGCGCTTTTCTGGACACTCCACTCAAAGCGCTTTACAGGTAATGGGGACTCCCCTCCACCACCACCAATGTGCAGCATCCACCTGGAGGCAGCTTAGTGCTACTCTTGGGATCAATTTAAATCTTACAAGCATGTGGATACATGTTGCATCTTAATGATTATGGATCTCTTAAGTCAAAAGTCTATAAATGTTAAGCTGACAATATAATAAATATTCTTTATTCTACAGGTTATGAATTAGATACAGAAATACATGATTCCTGACTACAACAAAGATGTACTGCAATGGATAATACAGGAGAAGCTTGTTCCCCTCAGAACAACGTGCTAAATTTCAGTTAATTAAATGAAATTACAAACCTAAAGCTGAAAGCCCACACATTCCTTGCAAGGCCATTCACAATATTACAAGAGGCCATTCAGCCCAGCTTGTCTGGTTGTAGCTGGTCATTAAATCACACCAGAAACTCATCCAGTGGTTTCTTAGAGGATCCCAAAGAGAGCAAAAACTTCAACAGTAGGTTGGCTAGCAGTCCCCCTGATACCCACGAATGTGCCCACTCAAGCTCCACTAATGCCCTTGGGCCTTTGCTCTGCCAGTTTCTGCTTCCCATTGTCAACCACTTCCTTGAAAATACTCGCTGTCTTTTCAAACTCGCCATACAGCATCTAAACTACACACTGAAGATGGCTCTGCAAAATTGAGAAGTTCTGCTTCTTCAATAGAATAGATTCCTGAGCTGAGTAAAAGCAGGATAAATGTCTTGGTGCAATAAAGGTACAGCATTACGTTTCTAGTTCATAGTGTTGTGATAAACACTGCTGCAAGAGAGGTCGGCAGTGGTCTCTCCCCTTGAAAGACTGCCGTTTCATCCAGTTCCTCTTTACAGGTTGCTACTCATCGGGAGCTAGAAACCTCCTCTGGGCATTTACAACCCATTCTCCCCAAGTACACTGGCCCACAGAACAGTGCTATTTTAAGACGCTGGTTGAGAGGAAAACCTGGCATGGCAACCAACCTTCAGTATTGGGGCCAGCAAAAATCGGAAGAAAAAATCTTCTCAAAACCAAAATGACTCCAGCGGATACTGCTTTATTCGAATAGCAGCAATATTCCAAAATTATCAAGATGGGATTTTGAAAAAGCATATCTTATGTATAAATGAGTCACGAGGGAAAGGGTCTGCTGTTTGCACATTGTACCTACATCCAAGTACAAAGCGTGCTTTACAGAATAGCTGAGCACCTGGATATTTGCTCAGCAACATAAGAGACTCATGATGGACAACTTTTGAAAACTTTGAAGAAAGTTAAGATGATTTGGCACTACATTACAAACACCAGCAGACTTTGTACTGTGAAGGAGTAAAGAAAAACATAAAATAAAAAATGTTCATTGCCATTCCACCACCCTCAATGTTGTAGCACTTACCGAGTAATTCTTTGGGTTAATTTTCACTCCTGCTTTGGCTCCACCAAATGGTACATCTGCAAGAATGAGCAAACATGAGCAACACGGACACTATCAAACCAAAAGCTTGCCGAGTACCAACTCGTGTAAATCCACTCGATTGCAGAGCACCATGACAGACTGGGTACAACTGGGTCAGACATAAGGATAGTGTCTTCACTCTGGCCAGAGGGATTGAGTGCTGGAGCATTTGAATTGACATCTGGACACTCAATGTACAGCAGGTGAGTAAATACAGTTTAAATAAACCATGACACTGTGTTCTAATATATCTAGAAGGATGAACTTTCAGGGTTTTTATGGTTATGTTTTGCGATACCTGGTTTTAAGATACACAGAACAGAGGTAAACATTAAGATTTTTTTAAATCAATATACTATTTATTATACAGTAAGATTTTTGCCATAAAGGTTATGATTCACAACGTGAAGTCAACGTTAGCAAAACTTGATTGTGGTTCTGACCATGGAAGGCTGCTTCAGCAAGTGACCGTGGTCTTTCTAGGGGTTTGTGCAGCGGCTTTACCCTTGCGCTGACCACACTGCAGTTCTGCTGGGCTGCACAGCCCAAGCACCATGCAGAGCACTAACCTGGGCAGACAAATACTCACCCACCACAGCGCACTTGTATGTCATCAAGGAGGCCAGGGCCTTCACCTCGTCGACAGACACCTCTGTGCTGTACCGGATACCTGAAGAACAGGACAGAAAGGCCGTGAGAAACACTGAGGCTTTTTGTACACAGGAGGAGGATCAGAGTCTTGCCCACAACCAGGCTGTAGCCTCACAGAGCAATGCTGCGCGTTTACGGTGCATTTTTATGGAATAGTTTTTTTGTTTTTATGGCGTGTTTACGGAATGCAGAGGAATTCAAAGAAGTAAAGCTTAAAATGTCCTACACCACATTCTTCAGTCACCTGTAATTCTGGGTAACAGAAGCCATCTACACACATCCCTATAACAAGGTTCATACTATACTTTTTAGTTTCAGTCTCATGCCCAAGACTTATTACCATGCACTAATGTAGAAGCCCTTAAGCTGTCCAAGTTAATACCATTTGGTAGCACAGTTAAAATGCTCACATGTAATACAGTGTGCTAGAAACATTGCTAAATTACAAGAGCGCGCACTGAGGAGAGAACAACACTGCAGCTCCTGTATTGTTGAGAGTTGGCGCTCACGCTGTACAATCCATTTCAACTGCACTGCAGCACAACAGGGAGCTGCTGGAGCACTGCTGACAGCTTTGGAGAAAGCAGGTAGCAAGTTGCAGAGGAACACCGTAACATAAGCACCGATTTCGAATTACAAAGGATAACTGAGTGGCAAAATGGGTTTGCCAAATTATCATCATAGAAACCACAGCAGCAGCAACATCACTTCTTCCACCATGGAACATGGTCTTGGAATTCAGTTGTAGTCAAGTTGTGAACAATGATCAAGTAGCATGATCATGCAAATCAGCCACATCACTATACAGCTCTTTGGTCCAGTGTGCAATTCCAGAAAGGAGAACCATCTGTGTGAAGTGTGCATGTTCTCCTACCATTCCATGAATTTCCACCCACCTTCCAAAGATAAGCTGCTTGGAATCTCTATTAGTCTATTATAGACACAGGTATGCAGAGTAATACTTTCATTCCATCCAAGCTGTCCTGCCTTGTGCCTATTGCTTGGGACAAGTTCCATGGTACCCCAACCTTTACCAGGAATAAGCAGCCATACCGAGAATGGATGGATATTTCATTTCAATGAAAAAAACTGAAAATGTAAGCAAACGTGATTTGAAATCTCCAGGATGCAGACTCTGTGAATTATTATCTATTATTGACTGCATGACATTTACAACACATTCTCCCCAGTACACTGGCCCACAGAACAGAATGCTATTTTAAGACACTGGTTGGAGGAAAACCTGGTTCAATTTAGAACAGTCCTGGATTGCTACGATAAAACATTTAAACATTTAACTACAGCACTAGTTTCATATCCTCATTCTTTTAATAATGCAATATGTCCAAAGCTCAAAATATTCTATAGCTTTAATCAAGAAGGTTGAGTTTTAGGCTACTTGCAAATCAATGTTAGGGTATTATTTAAAAGTAAACTCATTTCCCAAGCCATTCATTCCCACTGTTCCACTCTCAACCCTAAACAATGCTTTGGGAGGGCTGTGATAGAAAATGAATATACTGCCTGTACATCAGTTTGGAACCAGGCAAGGAGGTACTGGACTATACTGTCAATATCCAGTGCATCTGCAAGAGGAACAGAATTAATTTGCACTGAAAAGAAGTGACTTTTGCATCACGGAGACCCTGATCCCAAGAGGCAGCTTGTTCACACCCCCATCCCTCGTCTGGCACATTGTTCTTACAGTATGTCACGAAACTTAATGAACGTGCTTCCAGCTGAAACACAGTACAGGCCCATTAAACAGTGATTTCAATTAAACACTTTTTTTTAATCTAAATTAGTTTTGATCATTACAGAAAACAACCCTGCTGTCTTAATCCCTGCAGTACCCAGCTCCTGCTGCCATGTCAGTTCACACAGCAGTCCGACAATGAGAAAGCCAGTGCCTAGAAGACAGAGAGAAAGATTCAGAACAGCTTGATGACTACTATTGAGTCAATACCAGGAGACTTCAGACCTAATCAGAGACTGCAGAGCTGGCAAATGTCAGCATTTCTGCTGACAGTGCAATAACCTATGCAGAACAGCAATGGCCATCTAGTTAAAACTGCATGGCTACAGGAAGTAACGAGTGACAATACATGAGAAAGCACTTTCACTTCAGCATTTCAGTGTGACCTGCCCAACGGTCTATGCAGTCAATTTATTGATTAGCCCTAATGCACAGCTTGGTTTAAAAGGGTTCTCTGCATGTTTCTTGTGATAAATGTTGGAAAGAGATTGAAATACATCCTGTGAAACACATGAGAGGAAGTAACTGTCTGCAGCAAAAGCTATTGGGCTATTTCAACAAACTCAAAAATTCTTGGAGGACATTAATATTGAAATATATCTTCTACATACAGCATCATTTTGTTCCGATTCTAATATTACAAACTCATCATACTAAACTAAGATGTACAAAAAAGCAATTATTTGGTAGCCTCCCACTCACTGCAACAGCCCTGGAACTGCATTGCACAGTTTTTGCATGTGCGGTCGTTGATCCCACAAATCAGTAGTAGCTGCTGCCCTGAGAGGAGAGGCCCTGCTCAGCATGAGCGAGCCTGAGTCCTGGCACTGAGATTCGCTCTGTGCTGTGCACTCCACCTCATGCTGCTGCGCACAGGGAGAGGCCTTGGGTGTGGGGCTGAACAGCACACTTTTCTGGAAAGTCTACTGTCGCTCGTCGCTCTTTGGAAAAAGAAAGCTGCAGAGCGACCAGATACCGTAGACACCAATACAATAAACCTTTCAATGCTATCTGCTCTTCTTTTAGTTAAAGTGCTCTAAGGAAAAGACAGTCCATTAAGCAGGGATTTCAATTTAAAACTATTTTGACAAACATTACAAATTGAGTAAGAAGAAGAAAAAAAATCAACCAGTACTGCCCCTCACCACAGTATCTGGTTTTTGGATTCTGAGTCTGCATGAAACAAGCGACTGGTGCATTAACCCATACTGTCCAGATCACAAACCCCCTTCAGTGTGGGTGTGACCAAGCCCACCTCCACGGCTTCTAGATTTTTATATTTAATTATAGTTAATTCAATATTTAATATTGGATGGTACTCTGTACCACCCACTTCGGAGAGATCTGAGAGACCTATCATATTAATTTGTATGTAAAAGCCCTAGGCAGTGGACATGAAGAAACTAATGGACCACAGGTGATTTGTGTGCTCTTGGGAGATGTCCTGCTTGTCAAATACAGGCTGACCCCAGAGACTAGTGTGACAGAAATGAGATAACCCCATCTGCTCCAGTGGTGCCATATAAATGGCTGACCCTGCGCTCTGACCCCAAGCTTCTCTCCCTGTCTGTGTGTCTCATGGAGAGCAAGGCGGGGTATCCGAAAAGACAAATTCCTAATACAAGAAATTGTATGTGGCTAGTAAAGTGATCTTATCTTATCTCACTGTAGCTCAGAGAGGTTGAGCCAGAGGGACACAGAAAATCAGCTTTCTAAACAACAGACCAAGCACTACCCAAACATGAAAATAGCTTCTCTCCATTTCAAACATACAGTACAATACTCAGACATTCACATTATTGAGAAAATGTGTACAGCATTCTATAGTACTAACATGATTCTGTAAATGACGGACAAGATTGCACATACATGCTTCAGTAACATCCACACAGGCTTGAGTTCAACTCTCTGTTAATGGGAAGATTCCTCTCAGTTTGGTTTGAAATTCAGTTTCACTTCTGATAACATGAGAAACCACATCATGTTTCGTATAGTCTTTTTACTGGAGTCTCCAAAGGAACAAAGCTTTGCGCAATGGAGAAAAATAAACAGACACATCTTTAAAATGAATGATGATACAGTTCCTTCCCTCAATAGTATTCTGGCAATGGCTGTCTTAAATTTAATACTGTAGCCATATAGACTTTGAAACACACCAGTGAGGAACCAGTGCCTCCCAAAAATTCAAGTAACTTGTTTTAATGAGTGTCTCTGTGCACCTAGTGTACAACAAAAATAAATACAGGATTTGCTAACAGAACCCCACAACCCAGGCCATGAGCATCAGCCTGTCGCAGTGGCGCAAATATCATGCTCCTGGAATACAAGAGACTGTGCCAGACCCTGCATCACAAGACCAGTCTCACAGATACTACTGCACTTGTATTCTCTCAAAGCTGCTTATTTTACTATGGCACAGCTCTGCATCTAGCCTGTCAGTTTAGGACATTGCCTTAAACCTGATAATAGATAGATAATACTTTATTAATCCCGTAGGGAAATTGATGAAACTTATATATAATATATATAAATTTATCTAGTTGATAAATTTATATATATATATCTAGTTGCCATTCTAAGGTGTTAATTCTAGAGCACCAATAGCTTTATTTTATCAATTTGGTTCATCCTGTTACATCTCTCTATAAAGGAGGTTTTACTTATGTATTGTAGTATTGACTAGCAAATGGACAGTATGGATTTTAACATAACATCCACTGATTTAAATTCTATGCTTTTGCTATAGGTCCTAATATACCTTGTTCATTGCCTCCCCACACTATCTAGATAGAACAAGAGTCTCAGTCTCCATTCCTGGATGGTCTGGCTTCTTCTGGTTTTGTCTCAACCTGGGTAATCAATTAACTAGGTTAAGTTTCCATGTTTGAACGTACATAGGATGTACGTTCGTTAATTAGGTCATTAATAATTCATATTTTATTTGAAACCTAAATGCTGACACTGAAGACTTCTAAGAGTAAGATAAGTCACAGTAAAAGTCAGCAAAAACTAAAGAAAAAAACTAACATGTGATTGCATAAGATTTCAGACCCACAAACTCAATATCTGGTGAAAGCACCTTTGGCAGCAATTTCAGCCCCTGTCATTTTGGGTAAATCTCTACAAACTTTGGACACTAGTTTGGTATAATTTTTGGTGCACAAAAGGGAAGCAGGTTTGCATCTAAGATTTGTCTTTACTCAGTCTAAGATCCCATCAGTCTTGAGAAGCTTGCTAGTCCCTGGTGACGACAAGCAGAACTATATCATAATGCTGCCGCTCCATGCTTGGCAATAGGGATGATCTTGACTGGGTAAGGTGTTGCGTTGTGTGTTCTAGAAGTAACATTTTGAATTTGGATAAAAAAGATCCAATTTTACATCCATTCCTTGGATAGACTCTGGCTCCCCTGTGAGCCCGAATTGGAAAAAGTGGTTAGAAAAGTGATGGATGTTCTAGTTTTGTTTTGGCTGACCCCAAAACAAATTTAGATAGTTTTACAGTATTACATAATAATTATTTAGCAATAAATTCTTTGCAGCAAACTCCATGGAGGATTTGAAATGTGATGGCTTCTTTCTTGCTGCTCTGCCAGGTTTGACTCATTTTTACCCATCTAAGCCACTGAACTCTGTAACTCTTTTAATGCTGCTGTTTGACTCACAGTGTGTCCTGTATTAATGCTGAAGTAGTTCAAGTAGGTAGCTGTGTCAACATGCCTAGGCTGCAAATTAACAAATATCATTAAATATACAGCATTTATACAGGAACAAGTAAAGGTTTATTCCATGCTGAAAAGAGAAGAAATGAAACACGTTTCAACTCACTCCCAAAGAAGGCTCCACAGTCAAAATGTTGTGTTTTTCATCTGTTTTCATTGTGACTTTTAGATTTTTTTATATTATCTGCTTCTTTCTTTTTATGTTTTGCTTTGAATGTGTGGGACAGATTCTCTCTATAACAAATAATAATTGCTACTCGAAACTATGAGGTCTACAATCAAGTAGGTATAAAATACAATCTTACTATCTAACTACAGTAATGTTCTAGAATGACTTGGTTTGGTTTTGTGGCCCTTTCTTGTGGATGGATGTTACAGTAGCAATCTAAAAAGATTGCGTTCCTGTACCTGAAGGCTCATTTTGATGTGCAGTGCTACTCCTCCCTCTGTTCCATGTTTCCTCTCTCTCCAGATTGCTGTGTGTCCACTAGCGCTTAACTCTTTACCAGCACTCTCCTTCAGTCCTGGTTCTGAGGGTCCAGTTCCATCATCATCATCAAGCTAATTTTGTATTTTACATTTGTATTTTATACAACTCTTGCTCTTTATGCCCACTAATCCTGGTATTTAGGCCCAAGTACTTAATTCCCTGGTCCTTTCCTAATTCACTTCACTCTAGTTCTGTTTTCCCACTCAACTCCTTGTGCATGTCCCTTTAGAGTCAAGCCGACGGTTACCCTTCTCACTTAGATGCAAATCCCCGAGTCTCTGTACAGAAGAGTTGCCAGAGGCAGGGAAATATGAAATCTGTTTCCACACACCATATCATCAGCCATGTCCATTTGTAGTTATGTACCTTTGCGTGGTACAATCAGGATTCCTCACAAAACCACAGATTTAGTCCAGTCATTCAGTTTGTCTCCAAGGCCTCTGAATGTTTCACATTGGCATGCAATGCCAACTTGCTGCAATGTTATTTCTCAGATACATGGACACCTGTGAAGGCCTTGGTACCTTTCCACACATCACAGCTAACTCCCAGTCACAGTTTTCAGTTCCTTCTCAGTGCAATTCTTAACAGTTCAATCTTAACCTGAAAAAGAACAACAGCTGATGGAAGGTAGAAATAAAAGTTTGTTTTATACAGTTTTTACAGTAGAAATGATGAATTTCCATTAATTTGCTTGAAATACATCTAAAACTTGTGAAAAGCAGTGTGAACTTCTGCAGGTGTGGATCTTCTTAAGCATGTCATACACTACAAAACAAGATTGCTAGCATTCTCGATGTGCACAACAGGCTTTTTCAATAGCTCCTCAGTGTCTCCAGAAAATGTCAGTCGATGCCTCAGCTTTGTTATAGAGTTCAGACACTTGTTCCAAAAATGAAAGAACACTTGAAACAGATGAAAAGGCTAAACCATTCTCTCTCCCTCAAAATCTGTGTAAACCCCAGGCCACCGTCCTCCTATACATCCACACCAGAATGGGGATGGGAGCATTTTCCACCCACCTTCCTGTCTGCTGCAGCAACTTGGGCTTGAAGCTTGAAGAACACGGCACCCTTCCAGCTGAGTGGGTCAGCTCTTCCTGAAAAGTACACTGGCCTTCTGTAATGTATCGACCACACAGGCCTGTCCCCATTACAACTAATACAATATCATATAACAGGAGTCTAATGCAGCAACAATACAATAACATACAGTCCATCTCATCAAGGTGCATTCATATGTGTAACAAAGTAGATGCATTACCTACTAAAACCATTCTCCTTTTTAATAAGAGCTCATTTCTTCACAAAGTTAATAAGTCAGAACATTTCCTGCTTTTCTATTCTGCAGCCCAACCCACACCCACACTTCCCAGGAAATGGGCACACACCCCACTGTACTAAAACACAAAAGGACTGAGGTTCACGTCCTGGAAAGCGGGGTTGTACATTTTTGTGCTAACGTGGCTAACGTGACACCCCACTTTCTGTCAGTGGGATCTTTTTTCTAAAACTGTAAAGGCAAAAGATCAGAATTCCTGGTCGCCAATTACAGGAAAGTCTTGTAACAGGAAACCCCTATAGGTGCCACATCTTCAGCGTCACCTGGCCCGGGTCAGAAAAACAACAAACACAACCCTTCAGTGACGAGTGAAAAACCTCACTTCTAAATGCTCCTACGTTTTTAGTGAACTGAAAATACTCTGGATCTGGGCTGAAAATAGACACGAATATTCTGCCTGCAGCTCCCCCCCTCCTCCTCCTATCCCAACAACTTCAGCCAGCCTGTTTATTGGGGAATCGCCATGACAACAGCAAACTTGCGACGCTATCCCGTCACCCAGGCGTGCCAGCTTCAAGGAGGGAGCGGGGGGCTCCCAGCAGGGAGCTATTTCGGGTCTACACGAATCAGTTCCACGGCTACACTCAGCCCCCCTGCCTTCCATATACGGGAGACGTGCTCGCTTCTAAACCAAAATGCATACACTCCTCCGACAAATCGGAGCTTTATTTTACGTTTGAATTAACCACTTAACCACAACAGGCCTGTATGCCTTTGAAGGCAGAGCGTCGTGGTGCTATTACTGATGTCTGTGAAATCAGACTGCTGTGTTTTTCGTTAAGCTCCGTGTCCGAGCCTCTCCCTTGCGGAGTCCCGGTGGCCGGGAGGGAGCGCTGCTGCTGCAAACCCGCCGCCGCCGCCGCGATCTGCGCTCAGCGCCAGCTCACCCCGCTCTGCCCGCCGCCTTACCTCCTTTACAGGGGGTCCTGTGCTGGCTGTGCTGGGCCCGGTAGCCCTCGATCACCTCCCACTCGCCGTTATCTCGCTTGATGGGGAACGAAACGCTCAGGACGTGGTTGCAAGGCTTGATGATCTTGAGAATTCCGCGGACCCGGTGCCGCTTCTGCTCCGGGGTCTCCCTGTTCTTCAAGTCCTCTACCAGCTTGTCCTCCACAATGCTGGCGCCGCGATCGAAGAAGCCCTCAACCATTCTGAAAAAGTTGGGGTCGTCCTCCTTCTCCTCAACGGCTTCACTGTAGTGGCGGACCCGCATCAGGGAGGCGGAAGCCGGTAAAGCAGACTCGACACATCCCGAGGCCAAAGCGCTACCAGCTCCGCGAGAGAGCAGCTCGCCCAAATACCTGTACATTTTTAAGGATGAGGTAAGAAGTTTACTCTTCTGTATTTTAAAAAAGGAAAGCTAAGAGGGGGGGCACTTAAAAAAAAGTAAACGATACAACGGAACCTCCTTTGTCTGTCCCGTCCTGCCTCTCACTGACAGCCCTCATGCCATCCCCCTCGCTTTAAAAGGCAGCGCGAGACCAGCGGCTCCTCGCACGCGGAGGGGAGGGGTGTGATGGGGAGCGCGGCTCAGGCCACAGTAAAACCTGTGCGCGCTCCCGTCGTCTTTTGTAAAAAACACACAAGTGAGCTAACAATGAACGTGGCCGAGGTTCAGATTCAAAGGGAAAAAAAAATATTTTAATCTCCAAAAATAATGATGGGGGTGATTTTCAAGGGGTTACTTTAAAAATTGGAATAATCTTAAAATGTGTACAGAAAGTAAACATTGTTAATACATTAATTATTGCTTATCTATTTCGACATCTATATTAACTCTTCAGTGCAAACTTCTGAGTTAACTCCGCATTGCTAGTTCAACAATTAGTGAAGTCCTAAGTCTCAGGTATCTTCAGCAGCTTACTCTGCATACATGTTATAATGACATGCTTCTGTAGAGGTATAAATACTGTCAGTAAATTAAAAAAAAACAATTTACCTATGCTAGCACCCATTTCAATGTTTTCAAGCAAGTGGAGATGTTTGATACAGACGTGACATCACTGGATTCTCCAGTAGCAGGGGACCCAGTCTGTCCATGTGGCAGGTTTTCTGCTGTTCGGGGAGTGACTGGTTTCTGTTCTGCAGCTTTTCCAGAGTGCAGGTGGCTGACCCTGAGACAATCACATTCACTCTCACTCTTGACCTTGCCTGGGGCCTGGACTGCACAAGTCCTGAATGATGTCTTGGCATCCCTGTGGCATTGCTGTGAGTTTGAAATCTGGATTGAGGATAGTGAACACCACAAGCCTGCCACTAGTGAGGCCAAGGTGTCCACAGAGTAGCTGTCAGAGAGCTGCGCTCCACAGTTTCTTCTGGTGGGTTTTTCTCAGCTCTCACAGTGTTCTGCTGTCTCCACCACTTCGCAACTATTGACAGTTATTTCTTTTATGGATCATTTTAATGGGCATGACCGTGGCCAGCAGCCATATCACTCTGTAGCTCACAACTGGCAACCCACTTGAGCTCAGCAGGTGTGGGCCTAGTCAGTACCTGGATGGGAGACCTCCTGGGAAAAACTAAGGTTGCTGCTGGGAGAGGTGTTAGTGGGGCCAGCAGGGGGCGCTCACCCTGCGGTCCATGTCGATTCTAATGCCCCAGTATAGTGACGGGGACTCTACACTGTAAACAGGTGCTGTCCTTCGGATGAGGTATAAAAGCGTGGTCCTGACTCTCTGTGGTCATTAAAAATCCCAGGACGTTTCTTGAAAAGACTCGGGGTGTAACCCTGGTGTCCTGGATACATTTCCCATTTGCCCTTAGCAATCATGGCCTCCTAATAATCCCCCTCTATGAATTGGCTACATTACTCTGCTCTCCTCTCCACTGATAGCTGATGTGTGGTGAGTGTTCTGGCGCACTATGGCTGCCGTCGCATCATCCAGGTGGATGCTGCACATTGGTGGTGGTGGAGGGGAGTCCCCTTTACCTGTAAAGTGCTTTGAGTAGAGTGTCCAGATTAATTATAATTATTATTATAAGACAGATATTAAAATATCACATCATTCGTTGGCTTTAGACCAAGTGTTGCTTGTTAGGATTCTAAGATACAGTATTCTGAAAATGAGTTCACGAAAACTGTATAGTTTGTGTTACGTTACCTGTCGGTTTAATAAAACGTTAGCATTAGTGCCATCACTTGGGGAAAACTGAACTACTCGCAGACGCGCGCGCGCCGCCAGTTGTTGATTTTCGGCGCCCCCGTGAACGCGCCTCCTCATACGGGGAGGCTTGTGGAGGGTGTGCACAGGGCGTGTGGGATGACGTCATCTTCGAGGGGAAAGCAATCCAAGTCTGGAGTTAGAACCGGGTGACGGAGAGGCCTGACCTGGCAGACGAGCAAATGGAGTTTAAAGCATTTTAAAATGTGAAAACTATCTGGTTTGTTACTGTTGCGACAGTGCGACCCTTGCCAGGAGTAAGCAGCTAATGGTTTAGGATTTTAGGAAAGTGAAGCGGGGTGTGCGTCATAGACAACTGACCCTCTAAAACGTGCTTTTAATTATTATTGTTCTTTGCTAAAAGTTTATTCAGCAAATAGTTCAGAAAAACAGTAAACCAAGGGCTGTACACGTACAGGGAAACTGGCTTTTTCAGTATAGTGGACCATACTATACAGTAGTCTCCGTTATAGAAAATTGTAGAAATATCTTTGGTATTTCATTTAATTAATTTTATACTTCCTTAAAAATCTCTTGCATAGAATTAAAATGTGCACAACGGTTGGTATATTTTTATTTTTGAGAGCTCTTTCCTTCTGCTGTTAGGTAGCTAAGGATTAAATGCTATAAGCACTTGTGCATATGACAAATAAACTGAAGTGAACTAAGGCTGTCGTTACAGATCGAGGCAGTTCCACAGAACACTGTCCAGAGTAGGCAGGTTCCTGTAACGCATGCGGTCGTGCACCAGTGCATGTTACAAGTCATGCACAGTGCAGCAAGGTCAAGTGGAAGCTGCTCAAAGCAAATGAGCCATGAGACATTTTCACGGGTGAATCGCGAGATAAAGGTGCTCTTGCAGGTTTGGAAGGATCGGGAAATGTGCTTCCTGACGGTCTGACCTGCAGTAGCCTTGGCCAGGCACGGGATCAGGCGTTTCCCTGCTCTACTGACAGCGAGGGCCGAACGGGTGAACAGCTCCGCCCCCGGCTGGGAGGAGGAGACTGTGCCGAGGCGTCAGGCGCCTCTTCTCTCTGCCATTGGCTGCTGGGATGGGAGGGGGCTGCCTGCAGCGGTGGTCAGACGTGCAGGCGCGCCGGCTGTGTGCGGCTTCGCTTGCACCTCCTGAAACCAGCTCAGACTCCCTCTCAGACATGAATCGGGGATTCAGGGTATTTGCTTGATTCCGCGAGTCGTCTCTTGTAAGATACTGTACGTACACTGCATACTTCTGTCAAAGAGGTCGAAGTTCGCTTTGTCGCGTTCATGTACGGTGACGAAGAGAAAACAGCTGCCTGCGGACGATAACGTGGAGTTTATACTCAGAAAATGAGGACAAATCTTTTCCATCTCCCTTAGTTTTGTGAAATGGCAAGAGATAATGAATATCCATTCCTATAATAGTATCACAAAAGTAAGAAAACGCCAAGCACCACATGGAGCAGACAGGAACACCACATTTGGTAGCATGCTGCAGGCCCTGAGACAGTGATGCAGAAAGATAATGTTGAAACTACTGATTAGACGTACTGAATGAAACTTGAAGGACTGCAATGTTGCTGTGACAGGTCATTGTAAGCAAAATGCATTAGTCATGTGGACATGCCAGTGCTCTGTGGGCCTGGGTCTGGTTTGGAACAGCTCCAGTGAAGAGGGGGAGGAGAAGGCATTGCAGCCTCTCTGGACTGATTCAACCCGAGCAGATACTGGAACATTAAGAGGATGTGCCTATTTACACTTAGGTGGTGGCTATCTGCACGAGCTGCTCAGCTGCACCGTTGAAGCCGGTTCCCTGTGCAATTTCCAGATATACCAGATGGATCAGTGGATCAATAAGCTGCATTACCAAGCAAGGAAAACAGGGCAGGTAACCTCTTCTTGTGGATTTATTCTAGTCTAACCTGTATCCAAGAGCCCCGTGCAGTTCAAGCACAACTGAAAAATGCGAGTATACGGAGAGTTTATGATGTGGTTTAAAGGCAGATCCAGTCTAAGAGTCTGTGAGAGCTTGTGAAAGGGAGCTCTTCTGGGATTTTCATAGAGACATCCACAATGACAGTTTACCATGTGTAACATACACGTCATTGGAGAGTTTGGAAAAAGGGTTTGGTCACAGGACAGTATTTACAGTAGCTCAGGGGCTGGCAGTTCAGTGTTGTGTGCCTGTGCACTTTACAAACAGTTGCAGAAGAGGAAGCTGAGCTAGAGTGGGAGGTTATGGACTGGATTATCATGCCAGGTAGTTCTGCCAATTGCTGGAAACAAGTGAACTGGATAGGATCTGTTAAACACACAGTCGCTGCGGATTGGGCTCCGTCACTGGAATAACCCAGTCGTGCGGCTGTGATCATGTCTCACTCTGAGGCTGATTGAGCTGTGGCTACTGGCATGAACTCAGGTCTGTCTCTCAGTCTCTTAAGAAATTAACATAAACACTTTAAAGGCTTCCTAGGAAAAAGGATGTCAAGAACTCTTAAAGACATCGTTCCTTCTCCAGCCTGTTCTTGTGAGTCTAGAAACAGACACCATCCTCACTCACAAATTGTCTCCATTATGTTTCAGCATGGGGAGATAATAATAATAATAATAATAATAAACTTTATTTTATATAACCCCTTTAAAGGTGGCTTCTCAAAGCGCTTTACAGGATGACAATAACAATAAATAAGAAGACTACAACAATAATTAAGAAGATTTCACAAGATAGGACACAATTATAATTACAACAATACAACAATAACAATATAGGAGACCGTGGAAGGTGGTATTAAGAAGAGCAGAGGGGTGAAGAATGGAACCAGTTAAGTAAAGGCTTTTCTGAAGAAGAAGGTTTTGAGTCTAGATTTGAAGGAGTTTAGAGAAGGTGACTCTCTAATATCCTTGGGCAAAGAGTTCCAGAGCTTGGGGGCATAGCAGGAGAAGGCCCTGTCGCCCATACAATGTAGACGGGCTTGGGGGACAGTAAGGAGGGCAGAATTTGAAGAGCAGAGGTCGGGAGGTGGGGAGTAGGGCGATAAAAGTAGTAATGTGAACACTTGCACTAGACCTCGTCAGGATTCTGGCTGCTGAATTTTGGACATACTGCAGCTTGTTCAGAGTAGATTTAGATACCCCAGGGAGTAGAGCATTGCAGTAGTCAATTCGAGAGAATACAAATATGTTGATCAGCTTTTCAGCCACAGTTAATGATAGCATAGGGCGTAGTCTTGCGATATTTCTAAGGTGAAAAAAAGATGTTTTGACAGTATGCTGTACATGTGGGTCAAATGTTAAGCAGAATCGAATATAACCCCAAGGTTTTTCAATTTTGATTGAAGCTCGAGTACAGAGCCATCTACAGACAGGGTTACAGGACTGGCTTTACGAAGTTGATGGGGGGTACCAATAAGCATGACTTCAGTCTTGTCACAGTTAAGATGAAGAAAGTTTTGAGTCATCCAAATTTTTATGTCAGAGATGCAATTAGATAGAATAGAGACAGCCACATCAGTGTCGGGTTTGGTATGGATGTATATTTGAGTATCGTCAGCGTGAAAATGAAAGCTGAGGCCATGTGATCTTAAAAGCTCACCAAGTGGGAACATGTAAATGCTGAAGAGCAAGGGGCCCAGTATTGAGCCCTGGGGGACACCAGACTTGACAAGACCAATTGCAGACCTGTACCCATTGAGAGAGACAAAGTGACAGCGATCAGTGAGGTGAGATGAACCCCAGTTTGTCAACATGTACTGTACACCACCTCTGACACAGAATACCCATATCACCACAGAGAGAAAATGAATCAAAATAACATATTTATTAGATCTTCCAAAAATAGGATTAGCTCTGATTTTCTTATGTAATCTTGTTTAATATTAAAACTATTTTTACCATTTGTATATGTCACTATCTATGGAGTTTTCTTCATGCCTCTTTCTAGAAGACTTAATAATGTTGCGTGAACATCCCAATGATACTGGGACAGCAGTTACAGTGTTGAGGTTCTGCAGGAGCAGGCTGTGATTACTGGCATACAGAGCTATTGGATTTTAGTGGGGGCAGAGTCACTTGACACTTTCTCAGGCTGTGCGTTTGGAACTCAACACTGAGCATGGAAAATTGAGGGAATGTATATGTTCACTTTATCTGATCAGGACAAAAATTCACAGCTGTGAAGCTCCCAGTTTTACTAAAACTTCCAGGACATTTATCGGTTGTGAATGAGAGTTCAGAAGAAGAGATCCCCAAACAACACATTTGGGGATTCTGTTTATCCTTGCACTTAGATAAATGTTCTGTGGCTGAACTTTGAAAACTTGCTTAATCGGGTCTAGGGCGCTTTCTTTAATGTCTGCACAGAGAATAGCTGCTGTATGGATGTGCGAGACTGCAACTTGATAGCTACCCAGGGTCACGGCTCTCAGCTACGGGGTGGACTTTGAAACGTTTCTCATTATCAGTGAATCGGTTAACTTAGTGGAAGGAGGGGGTTTTTAAGAGCACTTTATGAGAAAAGTGTCCCTAGTGTTTCTTGGGGCTGTACAGCCCACTCACTCTGCACACTCTGAGGAGGTGGGAGGGGCAGACTGAAAACAGGAGGCATCCTGGGAGCAACTCAACAAGCAAGTTCAGTACCCAGCATTAATGAGACAGCATGACGCTGACAGGGGAGGCCTGTTTCAGGGTGCTGTGGGTCCTGTGGGTTAATGATAGTTGTTACAAACCTGTTTTTTCCTGCTGGGACCAGTCTGCTCAAAGCCTGACAACAGCAGGGGTCAGTGCTGAATTTTTAGCAGTTATGTTCAGCACTGCACAGAGTATCACAGAGATGGAGTTTGGGGTGGGGATGTCAGTTTCTTATTTCACTGCTCCACTGTTACAACTCAACTGCTGATGACTGCAATCCCCTCTCTAGAGCTACCATTTCCATTAAGATAAAATAGTTCCTATAACATAACACAATGCAAAGATTACACATAAAGAACCTTTTTAAAACAAATTGTTAATACTTTACAGGGTATATGGTGTTGTATGGTTCCTGATGGAACCATATATGAGAGTCTGTGTCAGGCTGTGCAATACACAAGGCATGCTTTATATGTGAAGGCATACAACTTGGAGTGTAGTTAGACAGGCGGTGCAGGAAAGCCAGAATTGTTAGTTGTGTTCTGTCCCTGGGAAGAGGGAAATTGCAGGAAGATACAACTGTGAAAGGTAAAACTTTTAAACAATATCAAGTAGATTACCTTTGAGGGGAGGCCATTCAGTTTCTAAGTAGCGTATTGATCCAAGACTCCTACTGTATATTTATCCAGTGACTGTGAAAAAAGTGCCCCCTGCTCCCCTGTGGTCACTTCTTAATGGAAACAGGAGGCTGGTGAGCCCAGTGTGGTCAGCATGAGATCTCAGTCCCAGTTGCCTATAATAAACTGACCGACCTCACTTCCTGGCAGCGTGCGGAGCTCAGCAGCAGCAGTGGTGTACAGTGACCTTGGTACAGGGACTCTGATCCTCAATGGTCACAATTCAGGCTGTGCAGATCTATCTAATCATGAACACCTGGTCAAACTGCCCCTGAAAACGGGGCCTGACAGGTAGCACCAGAGTGAGTAAAGCTGTGCTGTTGCTGTCTTTGTCATGACTGAACACTGAGACCTCCACCAACTGTTTGAGGTTGTTCAAAGCCCAGCTGGACTGAAAACCTGTAGATGTACCAAGCCTCTAGGCCCAGGATTGGAGACACCTAGCTAGTGCAAACAGATCTACATTAAGGGTCTTTTCACACTTGGTTCACTTCTAAGAGATTCAAATTTAATTTATTTATTTGCAAACTAATTTTTGTTAGTTTAGTCTGAGTCTGTGTTTGTATGTGAGTCAATGTCTGTATCCTGCAGTACGCTGCCATCCTGTTCAGGTTGGATCCTGCCTTGCACATGTAGCTTGCTGGGATGGACTATGGCTCCCCATGGAATGGATAACAATGGATAAAATTGTTAGAAAATGGAAGGATGGATTGTTTTGATCCATTTCACACCTGGAAACAGACTTGAGAATCTGGGTGAGAATTGATTTCCTTCTCATCTACTGTATGTTGCTATAGTACCTCATGCAGATCAGAATTTTTGCGGTTTCATATTGTACTTTTGTGAACAGTTGGGGTTTGGGGCAGTTAGAAGGTTACCTCTTTTTCCATGATGGAATATATGCACCATGTTCTTATTTACCTTTGATTTATTTTGCACAAGATTTAATTGCCTCACAAGGGCAGTATTACATCGGACTGGTTTTAAATGCGGTGACAGTGACAAAGTTTCTGCTGCATCTAAGTGATAGTGGTCACTCTTCTCTGGTGCGTGCTCAAGTAGGCTACACCACTTCTACAGCTCGGTTCACTTGCGTGGTGGAGTTGTCTCATACAGGTTTGAATGAAATTACCCACACCTCGATATGGATCAGATGCCCAAACGAGCTAGGTATGAGAGATGTGAGTCTAATCATTGCTAATTTCTGTTTTTACCTACATAATATTGTTGCCAGTATTACAGCTGGGTATGAGTGTTGGGTAACCTTCTTTCTAATCTCTCTCCATGACCTTGAGCCACCTCTACTCCTGTTCTTCCCCTTTCTCTCTCCACCTCTTTACCCTACTCTTTCTGTAGTATTCCCTTGCCTCTCAGAGGCCTCATTAAAGCTTGCATTCTGAGAGTAGGTGCGCTGCACCAATGGAGAATCTGTTTATTGCTGAGCTTTCAGAACTTTATCTGAGCCCTGACCCCCTGCACTGGACTCTGTTCAAACCAACAGATAAGATAAAGCCAGATCTGTGTGGATCAGGGTACAAAGAGTCCTGTTTAAGTTGAGAAATCCCTTAATCATTAACACTCTCATTTCCCCACTGCAGGCAAGGGCAACTGCAAGCACTGTCTGTTACTCAATTCAATTCAATTCAATTCAATTCAATTCAATTCAAGGTGCTTTATTAGCATGACCGATGGGTACAATCAGTGTTGCCAAAGCAAATAAAAATAATAAAATTAACATAGAACAAAACAAAAAATAGAAGTAAAATAAAATCTACAGACATGTTACAGACATTTACAACAAAGACATATTAAATAATATTGACATATACTGTAGGCGGCTG